TAATTGCTAAAAATATTTAACACCACCATTTCTACTTCAGATTTTAGGGGCGTTCCATTGTTAACTTTTGCAATGATGAAAGTAACCACTTTATTCCTTCTGTGTTGTATCCAGTTTCTGATCCATGATGGTTCTTTAACTCTCATCCCATGACTGCTTAATTTTTTAATAGCCTTTGGCTTTGTGAAGAATTCTATTACTCAAATCTTTCTGATATTTAGTATATGTCAGTCATTATTCTCCATTCTTTTGTTGAAAAAGAAAGAATTTGAGTATACTGGAGAGGCACACTCTTGCCTTTACAAAAGAAGCCTTTATTTCCTTTTGAATTGTAGGCAGGTAATTCTGTGCTAGCCTTGGCTCTGCTTCATAACAACATGTCACAAGATCAGTATACTTCTCCTTCATAATAACCCTCCTAACAAACGAAGAAGCATGTGCATTTTCATCTCCAGTAGCTAGCTCAATCTTGTTTCTGTAGTTCCATGAAGTATATATTTTTTCAACATGATAGCTGGATATGTAGGTATTAATGGGAATGATTGCATCACAATTATGTATTGCCATATTCTAGAGTAAGATTTAGGAAGTATGGTCTGCTGGGGTCAAAAAAAGTCTCTAAGCATATGTGATATTTTATGGGCCATTGCTAAATTAGAGAATATGGGGGCTTCTAACCTCCTACACCTAGGAGTAGGAAGGGAGCACCAGGGCCCTCGTGTGGGGAACCTAGGGTTCATCTCAGCTAGCTAAATTGCAGTAAAACTACAGCTTCCCCAGCTTGCGCTGGAGCTTTACATCTGGTCGCTATCTCATTGTAAAAATATACCTTTTCCCACTGTAGACATATCTAAAGAGATGCTGTCCTTAAGTCATATTTCTGTAATAAATATATTATGGGCAAATGGTTATGCTTTACGCTGTTTTACATTTTGTTTTTAAAATGTATAGGATAGGTTCCTTTAATACTGGTTTTTCTTGCAGAAACTTATTTTTAGTAGGAGTCAATCAATTATAAATGTGTGGGTTTAAAACATAGTGTTAAAATATTTTGTCAAATCTTTTAAACTTGCTCTGTTCTACTTACGTGCTTCCCACCGTTAGTTTGGGTTATGCCTTTCTTCACTAGATTAGAGTCCTTTAGTACCCAATATTTTCTTTCTGTGAAAGTACTCCTACCTAGTACAGTAGAACCTCAGAGTTATGAACACCAGAGTTACAAACAGACCAGTCAACCATACACCTTATTTGGAACTGGAAGTATGCAATCAGATAGCACCCACACACACACACACAAGCAAATACAGTACAGTACTGTGTTAAACGTAAACTACTAAAAAAAAAAAGGGAAAGCAGCATTTTTCTTTTGCACAATAAAGTTTCAAAGCTGTATTAAATCAACGATAGTTGTAAACTTTTGAAAGAACAACCATAACATTTTGTTCAGAGTTACAAACAACCTCCATTCCCTAAGTGTTCGTAACTCTGAGGTTCTACTGTAATCAAATCTCCTCTCAATTTTTTTGACAAGCTAAACAAATTGAGCATTTTAAGTCTCGCATAAGGCGTTTTCTCCAGTCCTTGAATAATTTTATGGCTCTTTTCTGCACTTTCTCCAGTTTTTTTCCCCATGTCTTTTATAAAAAAAAATTTGGATACCAGAAATGTACTCAATATCCATCTCACCAATACTGTATACAGAGGTGAAAATCACTTGCCTACTACTTGCTACTTCCCCGTGTATATATCAAAGCATCACATTAGCCTAGTTTGCCACAGCGTTGTAGTGGGAGCTCATGTTGCGTTGCGTGGCCCCTAGGACCCCTTTTCGGCATACAGTCTCCTTTCTGTGTAAGCAAGGCCTGCATTCCTTGTTCCTAGAGGTATAACTTTGCGTTAGGGTTAGGCTTAAAACACATTTTGTTTGAATGGGCCCATCTTATCAAATTATCTATATCACACTGTATGATTGCCCTGTTATCACTATTTACTGCTCCAACAATCTTGGCTGATAAAATTTGTGGCGAACACAGTGACTTAATATTTAGTTTCAGATAATAGATGAAAATGTTGAACAGCATCAGGCCTAGTACTGATCCCTGCAGAACCAGACTAGAACAACACCCATTCAGTAGGGTGACCAGGTGTCCAGTTTTCAATCAGAACATCTGGTCAAAAAGGGATTCCAGTACGGACTAGGCCGTTGACTGTGCGGTTGGCAGCACCGTGCAGTGGGGCTGGCAGGCGCCATGCTAGCCGCCACACCACACGGCTCCCGGGAAGCAGCCGGCATGTCCTGCCTCCGGCTCCTATGCGTAGGGGCAGCCAGGGGAATCCGCGTGCTGCCCCACTCCCCGCCCACAGGCATAGCTCCCATTGGCCTCTCCCACTGCTGCCGGCCCACTTCTCCTCCTTGCGCTCCTCCTGTGACTGGGCTTGAGCTGTGGCGTGTGCCCTCACTGCCCTGTGGTGAACCGTGGTCTGTTGCCCCATTGCCGGCACCCAGGAGTTGGAGGTATGTATCCCTGTCTCCGAATGCTGGGAATGGGGCTGCATCCCCATCCCCCTCATGCATCCCTTTCTGTCCCAACCCCCCTGCACGCTCAATACCCGTCATTGCATCCCTCTCCCGTCCCATCTCACCTTGTCCCCCACACCTACCCATCCCAGCCCTGTACCCTTTACAGCGCTGTCCCACCCATCCTCTCCACCTCACAGAACTGCCACCTCCATATCCCTCACCCTCCACAGCCCTGCACCCTATACACCCCTGTGCCCCCCACATCCTCATGCACCTTTAACCTTCTGCCTCCCCCAGCATCCCCATCCACCCCACATACTCCCTCACCCCCTCCTCTCTCCTTCACTGCCCCCTCTCCCCCCAGCCTGCTCTCATCCTTGGCCTCTTTCTCTCCCCATCTTCTCTCCTCCAAACACACACACATCTTTTCCCCTCCAGTCCACCCTCCTCCCTTCCCAACTGGGCATCTCTGTGTAGACAAGTGTGTGCATGCATGCATTGTTTGTGTCTTTGTGTAGGGAGGTGAGTGTAAGCCTATGTGAATAAAATTTACAGCCTAACTCTGACTTTTATTCCTTCTGCTGGCTGTGAACAAAAAAATTGATGACCTAAAGTATGTGTGTATTTATTTCATAACAAGTTTTTAAAAAAGAAGGGAACTCTAAAAGAAATGTATTATTTCTTTAAAAATGAATATTGTTGACTAATAATTGCAGAAGAGCCAATGTATCATACGTTTCTCCCCACCTTTATCTAGCTGCATTATAAACTCTTTGTTGCAGACTCTCTCTTTTTATGTGTATGTCCAGCACCTGCCATCCTGGAGCCCTGATCTTTGTTGGGGTCTCTAGGCACTAAACAACAATTGTTATAATAAATAATGTGGAAGTATGTGTGTTAGTGCATGCTAGATGTGTACACAACAACAGTGTGTATCTGCATGTAAGTGTGGGAGTCAGTTTCTATAGATTTATTTATATAGGTATCTGGACAGGTGTGCATTTCTGTGGTTGTCTTCTATGGATTTGTATTTGGGCTTCAGGAGTAGGCCTTTAATGGACCTATTGCAGCTGTGATAATATATCAGCCTAATTCCACCATAAAATTACAATAACTTTAGTGAACAAAAAACATGGAGCTGGTTACAAAAAATGGGAAGCGAGGAGGGAAAGAATCATGAAAACCTTTGTGAAATTTCATTATTTTTTTTAATTACCCTTTTTGACTATTTTGCTGCCAACTCTAGTGTCCTGTAACAAATAAAACCTGAAATTAGCATAATACGTCGGTCAAAACAATAAATATGCCTGTTTGGGTCTTGCAGTGCAAATGAGTACGTGAACGAGGGCGGGGGAGAGCAAGCGGCAGGAGTGGGACCTCAGGGAAGGGCAGAGCAGTGGGCGGGACAAGGGTGTTTGGTTTTCTGGAATTAGAAAGTTGGCAACCCTACCATTCAGTTATTCATCCATTAAAAACTATTTTTTGAGATCTGTCAGCCACTATTTAATCCATTTAACATGTACATATATAGTGCTAATTTTTTAATCAGACTGTTGTGCCATACCAAATCAGGTGCCTTTCAAAAGGCTATATTATATCTGTACAGTTACCTTTATCAACCAAATTTGTAATCTCAAAGGATGGAAACAGATTTCTTTGACCATAAAAGCTTGTTGACTGGTATTAGTTTTATTCCTACCTTGTAATTGTTTACAGGTTGAATCCTGTATCATCTCTTCCATTATTTTGCCTGGATTTAATGTCAGGATAGCCAGCTTGTAATGAGCCATATCATCTTGCTTGCTCTTTCTGAATATTGGACATTAGCAGTCTTCCAGTACTGTGGAATTTTCCTGAAATTCCAAGCATTATTAAAAACTTACATCAGCAAGCCATCTCTTTTCCCCTGTGCTGCTTGATATTACGCTCCTACTGATTGCATATTTAATCTTTATATATGTATCTGAGACTGAGTCATCGCCTCAACAATAACAAAGGAAAGACAGTAACATATATTTGCTTGCTGGAAGAGAGCAAGATGCCACAGCAGTAAGTTGCAAAATGGTTAATTTAGAGCTGCAGATGCTTGGTTCTGCCAAACTTAAAGGGCCATACCCCAGAAAAACACGCTGGAGGAAAAAGGTTTCTGTACAAGGGCAAATCAGCACAGAGAGATTAGTAGGAACCAGAAAGTCATTGAATAAAGTGTTTATGGGGAAGGCGTTGCTTTAATGGTGTACTTGTCACCTTTCTATCACAGCAGATATTTACAAATGTAAGCTATGATGATAAGATACAGTGGTATATAGTGAAAGTCTTGAAGAAACTAAGTGAAATTTGACTGTGATAGGAAACAACTGTAATTACTGTAATAGTAGCTTTTTGATTATGGGGCCTACTCCCAAAATGGCATTTTGTATTACACAATGTCATTGTGTAACACAGATGTCTGTTTTAATATTTTTCACTGTATTGAAAGTTTGTTAAAGTGGATGTACATAGTGATAGCATGTATCTTCTATCTTTCAGTACAGTTGGACGTACAGCCAAAACAGACCCATAGCTGGATCAGTGACCTCCTTTGTTTTTTGGTTACCATATAAGTGAAATACATTCAGTGACAAGAAAGTAGCCTTGGTTTCTAAAAAATCATAAACTCTGTATTGAAAACTTGACTTTTGAGCCTTTGAAACCATTTGCACTGCATCTGTTTTACCACTGTCTTCACAGAATAGACTATTTTGAAAAAAATTCCAATAAGACAAAGGAACATCATATCTTTTGTTGGCAAAACATAAACTCCAGAGTCAGAAAATGTTCCTGAATATTAATCTTTGATAGGAGCCATATAACCTTAAAGAAAGTAAACATACTACGAAAATAACATACTTCAGCAAATCTGCTTACTTATGAAAAATATGTTTAAGGTTATAGCTTCTCTGTCAGTAGTGGGAATCCTACCAAATTCAGATTTGTTTTACCTTTGTGTTCATAGTTGTTCGAGTGGATCCTTGTTTAATATTAACCAATTTGATTTGGCACAGATTCCCAATTATGCAGCAAACCACAGAGAAGATTTCATGTAATGTTGGAAGGTAAAGAAAGTGTAATTACTATCCTTGCTTGAGTCAAAAGTTTAAAATATATTCTGAAATTTTGTTTGTCATTTAGAGAAGACCACCTTCCACAATAATTTGTTGAAACAAAGCCAAATACAAAGCATATTTAACAAAGAATCTCAATATTTAATTATTTCACTGAGCAAGGCATTATTAAGAAATACAGAAGACTTCAGGAACATCTTGAGAATCTAGTATACTACTAATAAACCAAACATCAGACACACAACATTCGTATAGCTTTTTAAAATTCAGGAGCATATCTGATCTTTTTGTGCGTAAACCTATTTCTTTGATATTGGTTCACTTCACTATGTCTTTAAGGATACTTTCAGCCTTTAAAAAATGTTGAACAAATTATACACAGTACACTGGTTAACCGTAGAGGTCGGATTTTCAGTGTTCTTGTTTCTATTTATTGAACAAATATTGTGAAAAGCTCTAAATTGTTTTTTCCAGTAATTGGTATATAGTAAATCTAAACATTTAGCAGACTTTGTAATGCATACATTAGTCTGTGGTGATCATGTGTGTGTTGGGTAGGAGAAACACAATTCAAAGAAGGATTTAAGTAGCTGGAGAAGGATTTAATCAATGTATAGGAAGCCAACATAGACAGTAGGTGAGCTTGCTTTTTAATAAAGTATAAACAGTTGGGGAAGTGTTCTAACCTACAAGCAGATTATTACAAAAAGCCTATATAATAAATATTTTTATTTAACTGTAGCCCCAAAAATGTACTAGATGCTGAACAGACATAAAGGAAGACATGAGAACAGACATTATTATGAAGTGATTTTTTTTTTTTAAGATACTCTTCTACCAAAGGCTGGAAACCCAGGGAGGAGTGATGTAAATTGTCAACACCGTTGACTTCATTGCTCTATCATAATTTATACTAGCTGAGGATCTGCCCAGGATGTAGAAAGGGTACAAAAGAATATTATCTGCATCTAACAACATGTCAAGGTTCCTCCCCCACTCTGAACTCTAGGGTACAGATGTGGGGACCTGCATGAAAAACCTCCTAAGCTTATCTTTACCAGCTTAGGTCAAAACTTCCCCAAGGTACAAAATATTCCACCCGTTGTCCTTGGACTGGCCGCTACCACCACCAAACTAATACTGGTTACTGGGGAAGAGCTGTTTGGACGCGTCCTTCCCCCCAAAATACTTCCCAAAACCTTGCACCCCACTTCCTGGACAAGGTTTGGTAAAAAGCCTCACCAATTTGCCTAGGTGACTACAGACCCAGACCCTTGGATCTTAAGAACAATGAATAATCCTCCCAACACTTGCACCCCCCCTTTCCTGGGAAATGTTGGATAAAAAGCCTCACCAATTTGCATAGGTGACCATAGACCCAAACCCTTGGATCTGAGAACAATGAAAAGCATTCAGTTTCTTACAAGAAGACTTTTAATAAAAATAGAAGTAAATAGAAATGAAGAAATCCCCCCTGTAAAATCAGGATGGTAGATATTTTACAGGGTAATTAGATTCAAAAACATAGAGAACCCCTCTAGGCAAAACCTTAAGTTACAAAAAAGATACACAGACAGAAATAGTTATTCTATTCAGCACAATTCTTTTCTCAGCCATTTAAAGAAATCATAATCTAACACATACCTAGCTAGATTACTTACTAAAAGTTCTAAGACTCCATTCCTGGTCTATCCCCGACAAAGACAGACTATAGACAGACACACAGACCCTTTGTTTCTCTCCCTCCTCCCAGCTTTTGAAAGTATCTTGCCTCCTCATTGGTCATTTTGGTCAGGTGCCAGCGAGGTTACCTTTAGCTTCTTAACCCTTTACAGGTGAGAGGAGCTTTCCCCTGGCCAGGAAGGATTTCAAAGGGGTTTACCCTTCCCTTTATATTTATGACACAACACAACAAAAAATCTGTTAACATTACAGCATATAGGATGTAGCAATATAATGCAATTAAAATATTTCATTTAACATACCAGCAAACTGGTATGTTAAATGAAATGGCACTAAGGGGTCTGGCAGGCTCCATGCTTTTGGAAATAGATGGATTAGTTCATTTTAATAATAATGTTCCATCATGAAACAAATAAGTTTTACTTTTTAAAATGACCCTTGGATGCTGTGTCTTGTACTTTAATGAATAATCTGTTTTCTCCAATTGTTGCCCATTGTGAAGAACTGTAAATTTTGAAATCAGCCTGCTGTAATGATTATATATGACTTGTATAGGTTTCAATGTGAAATAATGTTGCTGTCAAGTGTGGAAGTGTGTATGTAAATAGTTATAATGCTGAAATTCTCATAACAATATGTCTTGCAGCTATAGCTATAATTCAGCTATTGCAGAGACACTAATTTATTTCACTAGACTCTAATTTGATGCAATATAAAATACAGAGCAAAATTTTTGTACTGGAAAAATGTATCCAATACTGAGTGGGAACATAGATTAATGTAACTAACCTCACTTTTTTATTTCCTTCTTAACTATCAACACTTTTTGTCTTTGGTTTCAGGCAAAACAAAACATGATTGCATTACATCTTCTGCCAGTGCTTTTCTTAACAAGCTTGAACTGAATAGCAATAAATAACAGGAATGAGGCAATTTTATCCCCATATTCAACAATTTGTTCTTAAATTTGAAATGCAAGTATACCAATTATCTCTAGTCTGCTTCCAGATAAGCAGTGCCTTATGATAATCCCAATGCATGTCTTTTTAGAATAGTAAACAAGTAACGAAAAGCAGATCAGGGCTAGCATTATGGAAGAGGATTGAAAAACTGGGAAGATTACCTCAAGAAACCGCAATTTCTCAAAGAAAGTAAGTCCTGGTATACTTCAGTGAGATATTGTCCAGGTTAGTATGTTAGTACCAGAGCAGGGTAGTGATCCACTTAATTTGGATTTGAAAACATGCCCATCACAGTTACCAGTGGTATATTGCTTCAGTTTTAAATTTTGGAAAATGACTTAAACTGCTACTCTGAAACCTAGCTTGAGAAATTGACCAGCCATATAAGTACAATAGTATTGTCTGTGTGTACTGAGTTCAAGATTTATTTCATGGTAACTACTGTGTACTGTTGCCCACATTATTGCTGCTGCTGCACGAGGCTTCCATTTTGCAGTCCTTACATAGGTAGTCCATTGGTGCTAATGGATGCCCTAATGTGAGTAAGGTTTACAGAATTGTGTAACTCTAGTTACCTGCATAACTATTTGTTGCTTAATCTCAATTTTTCAATAAAATTACACACAGAATGCCATTAGTTTTATGACCTTGCAATAAGATATATTGCTAAATCCCAAATAGAAGCAACTTATTTGATTTATTTCTTATAGGAGTGAATCTAATGAAATTCTAATTGTCCTCTGGGTGGCTTTATCCAGAGGTTCATATTTCCTAAGGAGCTGGAGTTTTTTCTTTTTCAGTCTTTGCACATGTTTTTCAATATGTTGTATGCATACTATACAGTGAACTACTTAAACATCTATACAGTACTGTTAGTAGAGATAAGTGGAACTATTAATTTTGGATAGAAAGGCAGGAATTATACCAACATCTGTGAAGGTGTTTTGGTCACAAGTCTGACTTTTTTGTCTTTGTCTTAATGGTTTTTTTAGTAATGTCATGGCATTTTAATTGGGTTATGGAATCCACCATGTTGAAGATATAGAAAATATTAATATCTCTTATTTTGTATAACTACTTTGTTAACATTGCAGACCCAAAAACCTTGAGAGAGAGATATGAGGAAATATTGACATTTCTTGTTTATCTGCCAGGCTGTCTAGTAATTTCTCAAGGTTAGCTTTAAATTAGGAAGGTTCTTGTACTTGACATACAAGTTTTATTGAACTTAAATACAAAAAGTATTAAGGTCTTGATCTTACACCACTTGAATCAATGGGAATGGGAACTGTCGTAACTTTATGTCAGATCTTGCCTCAGCTAACCAGTTAAATATCCTAAATAGCTAAGGAGGACAGAAAGGGGGAAACAAATAAAACTAAATGAAGGAATAAAATCTTAATATCTGGCCTTAGTATGCTATATATGGGAGATAATTAACTGCAAATAACCTAACACCTAATAAATAACCTAATCATTTTTAATATCCCCAGATTTGGTCCATATTTCATGCGTTCCTGTTTGTTGTCCCTGTTTGAGGGCATTACTGACTGTCAGGATAAGGGGCCAAAACAATGGGAAAGGGGAGATCAGGAACAACTTTCCATTTTATTTGCAAGTAAAGACTCTAAAAAGAAAGTTGCATGTTTTTTTTTTGTTTTGTTTGTACATTTTTCTTTAAAAAACAAAAAAAACAATTTCTTATTTCCAAGAAATTAAATCTAAAGTCTGCCTGCTACTGATCATTCACTGTCTGGTTAGGAAAATGAAATGGGTTTTTAGCAGGCAGGTGTGTAGTATTGCTTGGGTCTAGGCAGGGAAAAATGATGACTGGTAAAATGCCAGTGAACTTCAGCACAATCAGATTTTTTTTATGCCTCATCACTTTCACTGACTTGATCATCAAAGAAAGAGAGTTGACATGCAGTTTACAGTGATGTTAGCCTTGGCTTTTTTATTGATTTTTCTCTGTGTGTGAGAGAGATCAAACTTTTTCTTGTGATGACTTTGTTTACATTTCCAGATTTCCCAACTTGTTTTGGAATATAAAAATGATCATTCTCCCCTGACAATAATTGAGAAAATACATTCTTGTAACCATGTTAGACTTTGAGTGATCTCTTCAACCTCACATTTTTTCCCTTAGGATTTTCTTTGAGAACTGGTTTAAAATATTTTTTCATCTTTTCATTTTAGCAGAATAAAACCCACTGAAAACAATGGCTGTATTTCTGCTATATACAATAAAGCTTCAACAATCTTTCTCCATTCACCATCCTTCCCTTCACTGGGGGATTTGGGGGATGAATCACTACATTTGTTGTACGCCTGACAAGATACTATAGTAATGTTTATGGCATTTCTAATGCATTTTTCTTGAATTAACAAGAACAACTGTTTTTCCCTCCAGGTGATATGTGCTGTAATTCAGGAAATAAATTTTCTCATCGGTTTGTGTGTACCAAATAAAATCTAACAAGATGAATGATATAAGTGTCAAAGAACATTGGAACCATCTATCTCACTAGAAAAAGGCATTTTTGCTGAGAGTATTGTATGCTGTATGTCTATAAGCCAGTGTGCTTATTGTTTTATGAAGAGGCAAAGGACAACATTTTTTATTAGTTTAGGCTTGTTTAAAAACAGCAATAGCAGAAGAAACACAATGAAGACTGATCATAGCATACAACTTTTTTTTTTCCAATTTATTTTTATAAATCAAGAACCTTTGTACTGGAGTCAGTCCTGCTGTTAGTGGTCTGGGTGAGATCAGGTTCACACTTTTGGGGGGGAGGGGATTCAGGTTGGGGAGAGGTTCCATAAGGACCAAATTAAGCCATGATATAAGTGATGGTGAAAGTTGATCAGAAAAAAGGTGTAAGTCAAAATAGCGTAATGTGCACCAATTTTGCATATCCTGGATGTACAAAATAGGTAGAATAGGACTCAACAGGAAAATAAATTAATAGGTGAGTGAAGATAATGACTGTACCACAACAAAAGTTGGGCAAAGTTTGTCTGGGGCTTACCCAAGGAAGGGCAGCTCTGCTTTGTGGTGGGGAGGAAGGAGGTGAGATACTGCTGTAAAAAAGGTGCTTGGTGGTCAGCTTTGCAGTAGTGACCCTTCTTCCCCCTTCCCCCTCTCCCCCCCCAGGAATGTGCATTAAAGTACGAAACCTGGGTGGGTCAAGTCTCTTTGCTCCATGAAGCGAGGAAGCCAGCACCCACTCTCCCTCCCCAGTGGATGCGAATGGCAGGCTGGACTGGACCTGCTGTGGGTTTTACACTAGTCGTCCCTTTTAAAGGGGGGCTGGAAAGGACATTTTTTCCTCACCACCACAATTGGCTTCGGTGGAGTGTGGGTTTTTTTCACCTTCCCCATAGCGGATGTGAGGGAAGACCTTTTCTGATGAGAAGAAAAAGTGGTAGGCCATATGTTGCAACTTATTTTGTATGGTTGAGTGGATGTTCAGTGCAGATACTCCATAGGGAGGGCAGCCAGTGACCAGATAAATGGCCTGGTAAAGGACTTAAAAGGAGGTACTGGATAATGGAACAGAACGGGGAGGGGGTTGGGGACTCCTGTGATTGGTATGGCTGGGAGCCAACCCCCTCCTTAACCCTCTTACGAGGGTGGTGGATGGTAAGTCCAAGCCATGGGTCGGCTGGGGGACCTGGATAGAAACAAAGGGGGGCTGGTGGAAGCCCCGGAGAACTGATTTGAGTAAGCATGGATTTGCCTGCACTATACACTTTATCTGCTGGGTAGTCCCAGACATCTATATAATAAAGTTGCGGCCTGATTAAAACCCATAACAAGTCTCCTGTCCTTCTTGCAGACAAGTAAGGCCCAGCAGAAACACCACATTGGTTCAAGTTATATTGCTTACCATATGTATCCATTTTCTGGTCAGTTTATACTATCATTTATATCACTGTAGAATTTGGCCCAGAGAATTCTGTAGAATGTGAATCTAGTAGCATGGCTAGAGGGGATCTCTACAAAGCAAATGCACTCTAGAGGGGGTATTGATGGTCTCCTTGCTGGAGAAGAGTGATCACAGTACTCTGCTTTGATAGGGAAAATAAACTCCTTCAAATGCAAAAGGATAATATTCCCCGCAGAGGACGCTATGTGCAAATATAGTACATCCCATCTTTGATATTAGAGTTCATTTTCATTTTAAAATAATGCTACTTTTGTCCAGCAAAGGCTAACTTGCAGATAAGAAAACTGCTACCTGCATAGGCATTATTTGGTTACTAACTAAGAGTGAACTCTTGCGCCTAAGAAATCACCAATGCTGCTGCTTTCAGCACTCAGAATTTTCCTGAGATGTCTCCCATTTTAAAAGTCCAGTCCTACTAACAATGAGTTTTGCCTGTAACTTCAATGGGAGCCAGATGTGGTGGTACATACTGGCCCCTTTAATTGTTCAACACAAGCCACGCCATTTAAAAACTATAAGATGAAACTGATAGGGTATTAAAAATGGTTACAGTATATTTTGATGTACTCTATCAAGCAATACTCTTAATAAGAAATTAAAACAAAGATTTAAAAAAAAAATCTTACGGCTTGTTTTAATGCTGTCTCCGAATGTTCCTCTTCTTTAGACACAAGTTTGTATGTATGTGCTCATGTGTGCACCAATGAAGAGGACTACAATTCTCTTTTAGCAGGAAACGAGGAAGACAATCTGAAATGGGTATGAAGAAACCTCATCACAGACTAGGTTGTCTAGCTTTAACTGCTCAATCACTGACAAAACAGGACATGATACAGTGTTCAGTCATAATAACCTTTTATACAAGATCATTTCAGTTTAAGATCCCTGCTTCCCAGGTTTTATTTCTGCTTCAATGCTCTGATTCTTTACCTCTAAAGAGTAACTTCATAGGGCACATTATACACTTGAAGAGAATAGTGGGGGAAAAAATCATGAATCAATAGTTTTGTCCCTGAAGTATTTATTTGTTAGACGGGCTTTTTAAAAACTTTTCTACTGAACTTTCAATTTTTATTTTTATTTTTTGTCTTATATGGATTGCTTTGTTTTGACTGTTCTGCTTTTCTTATGACATAGTTAACTTTATGTTGGAGTAACTAGATTTCTAGAAGACTTTGTCCTTCATAGCAGTTAATCTTAGGAGTATTCTCAAGATTGTTAGGCCTATAAATTGACTTATAGTAGCTCAACAGTTGTCTTATGTTAAAGGCTTTCCCTGAAGAATTCTGAAATGCAAGATTTTTTCCAGGCTGTCTTTGCTCTCTCCTGTCCCTCCTGTCCTGCAGATCTCCTAAACACTGTGTGAACAGGGCAGAGCTTTCTTTTTAAAAACCTCAGGAGGGCTGTGGGTGGGGATTGGGTGAGAGCCAGTGGCTTGGGTGCTGGCTATTCACTAGAATCATGTGGATCTCATGAGGTGTACAGGAGAGAATCCCAGTGAGGTTTAGGGGTGTGTGAAGGCAACAACCCTCCTAGAAAGCTTATTGAAGGAATAGGAGTCCTCCCTACTATTCTTAAGGAAGCAAGTTGCCAACCCTTGTGTGTGTGATCTGTTAGTTGAAAAGATTCTTCTGTTTTCATTGACGAGTTTCTATGGCACTTGGGTTACATATTGAGATCTACACCTCTGCAAGGAAATGTCCTAGAGACTTTTTTTTTTTTTTTAATGAAAACTTACAGGCCCAAATCCTTCAGTGCTGGGGGTATGGGTGAACAACATAGTCATTTGGTGTCTGTATCAAACTAAGTGGAGCCAATGTTTTGTAGCAACATTGCTAATAATAATTTTGAGTTTTGAAATTGTATTTTAATGAACTAAACTTTAGTGCTGTACACTATCCAGAGGAGACTACCTCCTTTCACCACCTGAACACCTTTTGATCAGGGTATCCTCCTTGCTGCTGCACATCACCTCTCCCACGACATATGACTCCTCTTCAGTTGTGCTGCCACTAACTGGCTGCCTTTCAGCCAAGCCTGTGTCCTATCCATTCCTCTGGGGAAACGGCATGAAGTGTCTTTTCTTGCAGAAATACCACAAGGTATAGTGTGGCTACCAGGGCCATCCCTCGACATTTTGGTGCCCTACGCAGCCCCCCTGCAGAAGGGGAGTGGCCCCAGGTCTGGGGGGGGGGCTGGCCCCAGGCGTCCATGGGAGAAGGCTTGGAGAACAGGGGGGAAACCACCCTCCAGCATGAGCCGGCGGATCAAGGCGGGTTGGGGCTGGGTCACTCCACTTCCTGCCACCCGGTGAGTTCAGGACATGCTCGACCCCTTCTGCAGTCCCCTGGGATGTTGCTCAGGGGAAGGGGTGGAGTGGGGATGGGACTGGGGTGGAGCAGGGATGGGAAGGGGTGGAGCTGGGGTGGAGCAGGGCCAGGGGCCATGGGGAAGAGGCAGAGCTGGGGGGCAGCTTTCCTGGGCAGCTCAGCTGGCCAGGGGATCGGGCTGGCTGCTGGAGCAGCACGCAGCTGCTTTTATTGCCCCAAATTTCCTGGTGTCCTGCGCAGCTGCGTACTTTGTGTATGGGTAAGGACAGCCCTGGTGGTTACTCTATCCCTCTGTCCCAAAATATCATTCTGACCTTCAGAAGTGCAACAAGCTCAGGGGAGGTGGGGATGCATCATTTGCTTTGGCTCTGCTTCTCACT